TCCAAGGTTCATACCTGCGCAGTGCCGCAGTCTGCACGTGCTCTGACTCTTTGCTTGAGGAATGAGACTTTTTCTTTTTTTAATCATTTTATTAATGAATTATTTCTGATGAATAACTTAGATTCATCAAATCAACCAAATCCAATAACTGAAATTAGCTGAAAGACTTCAGATTAAATTATTAAAATTTTCATTTATTTTTGTAGGAATTGTAAGAGTAAAAATTTGAATTCATTGAATAAATACATTTCTAAATCCTGGGTTTTTTTCCACACAAGTCATTTTGTTAACCTAAGAAATGACAAAGTCATTAATTAAATTATTTACTATATTATATTTTGTTTAAATTATTTTTAATTGAATTTGTTGGTGCTTATGTTCATATTTGAGTTTGTGGACAGTCAAATGAGCAGTAAAAATAACAACTGTAATAAGTTTGTGAACAGGAAGCTTCAAAAGCTTTATGCATAAAATCATCACACAGGAATCAGTGGATGCATCACAGGTGAACTCTGAATCGTGTCACTTCCTGATGTCTATTCAGGTTTCTGTCGGTCCGGTTCTTCAGTCCTCACTCTGCTCGGTTTCTGTTTTGCCTTCATCATCACTCTGCACACTCAGGTGAGTCTGATCACATGACCTCCTCCATCACCAGATGATGCACGTACTGACTGCTGCCGCTTATGTTAAATAGTTGAAGGTCTTCATCAGTCTCCTGTGTGTGTGTGTGTGTGTGTGTGTGTGTGTGTGTGTGTGTGTGCACGTGGATGCTTGCAGGTGATGCCTGAAGGATCTCTCTGCTCCTCCTCAGATCTCCCCATGGATGAAGGTAAGACGCTCTTCCTATTCCTCTTGGACCCTGGTTTTAGTTCTGACTTAAATTATGAGCTCCCTGAACGCATCTGGACTTCCCCTTCTGTAGGGGCACTCTCTGGAGCTGCTCCAGTTGGCAAAAACTTTATTTAAGTTGTAGAAGGGTGTCCCTGTGAGACTCCCTCAGGTGGACCTGAGGACTATCTGCTGGTCCCGGTTCTGGTCCCAGTCCTGATTCTGGTCCTGGTCAACCACAGATGAGTCTTTGTTGGCGAGAGTGGATGTGAGGTGTCTTTCTTCTGCGTGCTGGAGCGAGCTGGCGGCACTGTTGGAGGACAAAGGCTGTCTGTCCTCAGAGTGATGTCAGGCCTGTTGTTTCCTGTTTGCATGCACACGAAGCTGCAATTGAACGCTGCGTCCTTCGAGGCGCGGTGCTCCGATTTGCAGGAGAGCAAAAAGTGAAAAAGCAGAAGCAAGATTAAAATCAGCCACGTTCACAAACAACAAACATCCACCGACTCATGATAAAAAGAAAATAAACATCAATAATAAAATCAAATCTTTTAATAATTAATTTAATGACTGTAAACAATAACATAAAAACCTGAGAATGAAGAACACTGAATGTACAAAATTACAGTTCGCAAAGTAAAAGTATTAAAATGAATTGAAAAAGTGAAAAAAAACATAAATAAAAAAACATAATAACATAAATAAAGGGCCCACATAAATAAAAAGAAAAAATAACTGAAATAATTATAATAAATAATTAAAACATTTAATATATTTTTTAATATTTACAATAATCTGATTTTCAATAATATAACAAATAAAATAAATAAAAAATTAGAGTGATGTTTCTAAAACTAAACCTGAACAAAGAGAAATGAAAGAGACTGTGTGTGTGTGGGTAAGGGTGTGTGTCTTTGTATAAACAGTTATTAAGCTATCAAAATGAGACGTGTGTTTGTGTGTGTGAGGGCAGGTCAGTCACCAGCACGTGGCATCTGGTGCTCCACGTTACTCTGAGCCTAATTAGATTAGGCTCCACCCCCTGGCATCAGGGCGGCAGGTGGATCAGAGAGACCTGGCAGTCCTGAGGAGACTCGGTCTGGAGACATCCTCTTTTGGGTTCTGCTTCTCGCTCCCTTTAAGGTAGGCTGGGATTCTAGAGTTTCAGCACAAATCTCAGGTGTTTCTGCAAGTGAAGGGTGAAGTGCTGAGAGATGTTTTTTTTGCAGAGGTGACTCAGCTTTTTGTGTAGGAATCTGGTCTCTGACTTGGATCAGCTGTAGAAACAACTGTGTGAAGGTTACCTTTCTGTTTAACAGCCAATCAAATCACTCCGTGTAGGAGCAGCAGGTAGAAAACATGCTGATTAAACCTGATTGTGTGATTCAAACCAGTTGAATGTGGCAGCCATGCCCCAGAGCATCATGGGAACTGAAGTCTCTAGATTCAGTCTGCCGAGTAGTTCTTATTGATTATTTTTGATCCCAGCAGGAGGTGTGTGTGTGTGTGTGTGTGTGTCAGACTTGAACATGATCTCAAGTCACCTGCCTCTTAATCACTATGGGAACCAGCTGATGTGTTGCATAAGATAGGTGGTGGGGTTATCGCGATGACATCATCATGCTGCTTTGTTTAAACTGGTTTGAGGCAGTTCTGGTCCACACAGGACTGGTTCAGACTGGCTCCTGTGTGTGAGGAGGTGAAGTTTGGAGTCCGGCTGTTCGCACTCGCTGGATCTTACTGACGTGCTCTGAGGTGGAGAAACTACAACGTACTTCAGCACATCGTTGCTACTCTGAGGTCAGAGTTCATGACAGCACTCTGAGAATCAGACTGAACGGGTACGACTGCTTGGAAGGACTTCACAGGAGAAAGCCTCTCCTCTGTGAAAGAACAGGGCAGCACAGCTGCACCTGAACAGAGCCCAGAGGAACAGACATAACCAGAGTGCAGGTGTTGGTCCATCATGGACAGAATCAAACACCTCAGACCAGCGGTGATGATCAGAGTGGACCATCAACTTCTCTGTAAACACAGTGGAGTAAGCGTGAGGCCGTCTGTCCCACAGCTCTAACTCAGAGAGCTGTTCATGTTCATGAAACGCTGGTATGAACATGTGCTAGCTGCTGTCTGTCAGACCTCAGTGTGTGTGCAGCAGGTTTGTCTCCGTGGATGACTGACCTAAATACTCATACATGAATAAACTGGAACATCAGAGGAGTTCTTCAATAACAGAAACCCTGAGCACGGTAATCACTGAAAGCCTCATCACAGTGTGAAACATCAACATTTACCCAGATTATTAAAAACGGGAGAAGTGAGTGACGACTGGCCACAAGGCTCACCGACATCAGCTAAGAAAAACACGTCAAATAAAGCTGTTTGTCAGCAGGTGTGAGTCTGAGTAACAGGTAACGTGAGGCCAGTAGTCCTGGGCGTACCTGAGAGTATGGCCACTGTGCGGAATGTAGTTTATACTTTGCTGGTGTTTTAAAGTGAGCTCACCTGTGCAGATTACAGTGGCTCAGGTCCACAGTGTTCAGCTCTGCTTCTCCTGTTGTTGTTTCCAGTGTGTAATCTGTGATGGATTAACTCACAACTTTAATCCCCATTACTCCAGATTAACACACACACGCCTCCAACTGAGGAAACATGCTTATCAATAAGGAGATGATTAATCTGTAGGTGTAAATGTCACTGTACTTGTTCATTGTGCAGCTGCTGATCGATCACACCGACAGATTATAGATTTTGTTTCCGTGCTTGTGGTCGGGGTTCAGGAGGTGAAAGGGGCTTATGGGAAACGAGGGGTTATTCCTGTTAGAATGAGGCATTCGAGGTGTGCAGGAACAATGGCGCTCCACGTTAATCCTACTCTCTTCCCCGCAGAGGGAGAAGATGTTTTGTTTACCTGCTGTTTGACTCAGCACTCTGACAGGAAGTGATGCATATCCTCAGACACCACTTCCTAAGTTATTTTGTGAAAGCAGCCAATCATGAGTCATCTCAGATGTCAGATTTTTTTTTTTATAAACCAGTAAAACAAAGTACTGAGTGTTAGATTAGGAAATATTTTAACAGGAAACATCAGAGGATCTTGGACTGAACCCTGTGGAACGCCACACGTGAGACAGATTTAGCCAGTCAGCTCTTCAGCTTCCTGTACTGTGTTCGTCTGCAGATTAAAAAAACCTAATCAAAATAAAAAAAACATATCAGGAAACTAAGGTTTTTAGTTGATGTTGACTAGTGCAGCAGAAGCACCCCTGCTGTCTGAACTCACACATTTTTCTTTCATCACAACAAACAATAAAAAGTTTTAGTACTTTGGGCTGAAGCTGTGTGAGGTTTGAAGGATCTTTAGGAAGATCAGATCTGGTTCCTCTAAAAGAGGATAAGCTGCACAGATCAGGACCTTCAACGTGATGAATGCTTCACTCACTGTTTCCTCTCACACATGTTTCTTACATGATACAAACCGTAACTCTGCCGCTCACGACTCACAGTGTCACACTTCTTGCAGCACTGATCTGTTCCTGTTCCTGATATTTTGTCCACCCCTGCTGGTTACAAGTGGCGTGTGTCTGTGGCATCATGGCGAGACACTGTGGTTAAACGGCTCCGTTGTGTCTCAAGAACAGTTGGCCATTATTTCCCCCCCCCGAGACGCTTCAGGACACAAACAAACAGACCGAAACAAAATGGAGGAGCAGGAGGTGGAGGAATAAAAACATTCAAACTGGAGCTGAGCCATCAATGTCAGTGAAAGTAAGACACATCTCAGCTCTGACCTCGCTGAGCTGAAGGAGCGACAAGGAGAAGATGATGTCCAATTATTCATAGCTATGCAGCGTGTTGGAGAGGACGAATGTGACTCGGATCATGTAAATGTTCATTCAAAGCATTTCCATTTCCATAATATGTTTTGAATTTTCACACCCTAAACGTCTCGTGGCTGCAGGGACGTTTGATTCATGGAAACGCTGTGAATTGCAGTGTTTCCATTCAGCATCTGCTGATCACGGTTTGTGGTTACTTGAGGTCAGCTGGGAAATGGAGGGGATAATAATAATAATAATAATGATGATGATGATAATAATAATGGATTGCATTTACATAGCGCTTTTCTGGGCACCCAAAGTGCTTTATAATTCGATTATTCATTCACTCTCACATTCACACACTGGTGCAGGCAAAGCACAATTGTAGCTACAGCTGCCCTGGGGCAGACTGACATAAGCGAGGCTGCCATATCGTGCCATCGGCCCCTCTGACCAATGGAGGTAATGAGTTACCCCAGATCATCTCTGCAGGAATGGTGAGACAATTTATTCTGTGACTTATGGAGCATCACTTAGGTCAGGTGATCTGTGGTCCGTGTTGTAGTTTCAACGCGATCACACATCTGTTGTGATCCAGAGAAAGAGGAAACAGATTCACGCAGAACGTTCCAGCTCCTCTGCCACAGACGCTAACCTGAGACCTTCAGCTGCAGCACGGTGATGTCACACTGAAACAGGTTAGGTTATCGTGCTTTTAAATAATAAAAGACAGACATGATGAGAGACTGTGTGACGGGAAACTTCATTGTCAGACTGAAAAAGGTGTCTTTTTGTGCCTTGCAGACTTTTATTTTGAAAAATGAAAACTTGTGCAGGTCGCTGAGGAGGGCGCCTTTACTTCCTGTGTGAGTGTGCTGAGACCTGCTGTGAGGCGGTGAACCCTGACGCCTGATGCGGCCTACACGTGTTATGGTGCTCACTTCACCGCCCAGCTTGCTGTCATCAGCCCTGCTAATTTTCTTTTTTTTTTTTTTTTACCTGATTTTTGTTTCTGAGAGAAATGAGAGCCACATAGGAGGACATTTGTTTTAAATTTTGATAGAACAGTGGCAGTATATTGTCTTCGTAACTGGATATCAAGCCCTTGTAGAGCAAAATGTATTATTTTGGTCTAGACATCCCACAAATGTGATGTCCACATATGTGGACGCCAGTTCCTAGCAGGTTAAGGCAGAGCTCCGTTTGTATTTGAAATGAAACCACACTCAGTGATGTGTTTCAGGCTCCATCCCCAGTAAACATGTGACTCTTTAAAATGAAATAAAAGAGGACCTAAAATAAATGATGATGCTAATAAAGTTTTTTGTGAACAGAAACGGATGACATCAGTGATGAGTTCAGGTGCAGCTGGGTAATCTTCAGACTGCAGTTCAGGTCCCATTGAACAGAGCTGAAGAGAAAGTGTGTGAGGAGGTGCAGAGGAAGGCACTCAGTCGAGTACAGTGATTAAAGTTGTCCAGAGGGGCAGGGCCAACCTGCGAGCGACGAGTAAATCGGAGCCGACGGCGAGGTTGCCGTGGTTCTGCCGTGTTGTTGTGTTGCTGCCTGTGTATCTGTTGCCGTAATGTTGTGTTTTGTGATGTCTTGATGCTGCCTGTGTGTCTGTGTTGTTGTTGTGTGTGTGTGTGACTGTGTTGTTTATGTCTGTGTTGTGTGTCTGTGTTGTTGTGTGTCTGTTTTGCCATGTTGCTGCCTGTATCCGTGTTGTTGTGTCTGTGTTGCTGCATGTCATCATTAAATCGTGAGCTCTTGTGTTTGTTCATATGTTTCTGATCAGATCCCGAGTCTCTGTGGTTGCTCGGTAACGCCCTCTAGTGTATTTCTGGCTCATGTCAGGTCAGTTTGTAGCTCCTCCCTCTGCTAGCGTTTCTTTGTGATTCTTTTTTTTTTTATATATATTTTTTTTATTCATTTGAACCCAAACAAAGAGGAGGAAGGACCTTCATCTTCCTCACTTTTTAAATCTTTTCCTCCCCTCAGAAACTCCTCCTGCTGTCTGCCCTTTCTCCTCCTCCTGTAACTCCTCCTCCTCCTCTTCCTCCTCATGTTTCTGTTCAGCTCTGCAGTCACAGTTTACAGATGTGGGGCATTCAGGGCACTTTAGAGCTGCAGGAAAACTCAACCTCTTCTCTTTCATCCGCTTTTTGTTTTTGAGACTTTTGAGGACGTTTGTTGAGCCCAGCATTCAGGTTCAATGGGGTATCAGAGGAGCATGTGGCGCAGTCTGACTGGAGGAGGAGGAGGCGATGTAGCTGTGGTCAGGTGTTTCTGCTCAGAGGAACAGGTGAAGATCTCTTTCAGGAGTGTGGAGGAGGATCGGTGGCTCAGACGAGTGTTTGTGCGCCGCTGGTTTGGTGAGTCGCCGTCAGATGGTCCCTGAAAATCTCAGACTTTTTTCCTGATGCAGCATTTTGGATGGAGTGAGGTCTCAGAGACTGTTTTCTAGTGTCACAGGTTTGAATAAAGCTCATTAGTGTTAAAGCTATGAGCGGAGTGGATAATTTTTTATTTATTTTTTTTTAAACAAACACGTTTTTCTTCACAGGTGTTAAACGGAGCAGGTGAAGAGGTTTCAGATGTTTTCAGCTCATTTCTCTCCTGTTTGTTTTTTAGTTTTTATTCTGGTTTCAAACTCTGGTCAGGGTCCTAGAAGGGTCCTCTTCCTGTTGGTCCAACGGTTGCAGAGGTCAAAGGTCAATCCTGTGTGTGTTTGAAGGTGTTTGAATGTAAACTCTGAGCTGTGACTGGCCCACCAGGCCTCATATCACATCCATAAACTCACTCCCTTCCTGTCTGGTGAGTAAACGCCTCCCTGGCTGCAGAATGGCAGGAAGCCAAAGAGCTAACGGACTACTGTGTGTGTGTGTGTGTGTGTGTGTGTGTGTGTGTGTGTGTGTGAGAGAAGCTGTTTTCATTCAAACACGCACTCCTCCTCCCCTCCTTCTCCTGTGTTCCCTCTCAAGGAGGATTTGTGTTTTGGCTTCTGAGATTCCTGTCATGTGGGAGAGTGAAGTGAACACAGCGTGAAACCCTCCGGCTGAGCTGCTCTTCGGAGCCGGAAGAGGTCCGTCTGATCCTCCCGCTGAAAGTCCTGCAGGGTTAATTTACTTCACCCACAGCTTCACATTAAAGGCTTTTAACTGACTTTTATTCTGAAGGAAATTCAGGAAACTGTGTTTGTGTCTGAGTTTGTTGAGTATTGGACAGAGGATCCGTTTGAAATGATTCAGACCTGAGCTGCTGTTGTGTTCAAGTGCAGTTTGTAATGTGTGTGCAGCGAAGCAGAGAGGACAGGTCCAAAGCTGGTTACCCCCTGCCTTTGTGTGCCTGCTTTTCCACTTGTTGGGGAGCATGCTCTGTCTGTGTTCTGAAGTCAGGTTTGATAGTTCTGTGCATGTTTAACGGGAGCATCAGAGACGGTGGCAGCAGGAACTTCCTGTCTGAGGAGCGCTCTGCTGTCCTACTGTTGTCGTCCACATGTTGAATGTGTGTGTCTGTGTCTCAGGTGGACTGTCGGTGTCGCTGCTCTTCAGATATTTAGCCAAACCCTCAGAGGACTGGTTAGCCGGTACGTGCGCCAACCAAATCTCTCAGTATGCGATTCCAAGAAATCTGTCAATGAAGCTAAACCAATTAATCAAAAAGGAATCAATGACTATCGCTGATCTGCTACATGCTGATTTCACTGAAAGAGTCTGTGGGAACCTGCTGTGATTGGCTGGTTGGACCATGCTTGAACACCTGATCCGAGAATCTGGTTACATACATGAAACACGAATGTGTAGCTTCCACTTTCTCACAGTGTCATACCTGTAAACATCTGCCAACATCAGCAAGTAACTGCACAGCAGCCATGTTGTTATTGTCATGATGATATCATGGAACTTATCCTAAAGGATAAAACAGCACAAATAAGACAGCTAGCAGCTACACCCATCTGTGTAACCATGCACCTGTAAGTCATAGAGGCCACGCCCCTGATAACGCAAACTCTCAGTCTTCATACACTAAACAGGTGAGTTATTGACTACAGGTGTTTTGAAGATAGATCAAAGTGTTTTTTTACAGGCTGTAAACATGTTTATGTTAATATGGGAGTCAATGGGGACTGACTCACTGCTGCCTATGCTGGACGCCAGAGGAACTATAGGTCGATGGAAGAAATGGGCGTTTGAGGCGTTTCACTTTGAAACTCCCGGAGCTCGAACCATCTGATGAGTCAGTTCCTGAACATTTGATTCCCAGCCAAGCAGCCCGCATCTACATATTGAAATGTTGCTCATTCGTTCAGTTGCTTCACACAGTACAAACTGTTTCTTCACTGTAAAAACATCTAAACACATTTAGATTCCTGACATTCCTCAGGTGTGGTTAATAGGCCACAACCTGTCCAGATGTTTGCAGCTGTGGATGTGAGGTGTGAGTGTTTCTTCAAAGTGAATTCAGACTCCAGGACCAAAATAACACACTGCTTTATCTGTCTTTGCGGACAAACATTCATCATGTTCTAACTTCTCCTTACACAAGCTTTTATTGTGAAACTCTGCCCTCACTCTGACAGTGGAAAAACCTCAGTGCTTTTATTGTGAAATGTGATGATGTAGAAGTTTGCTATCAGTGACATCATCTCTCTCCCTCCCCTCCTCAGAGTCCCCCCGCCTGTCCACCGCCTCCATCAGCAGCGATGAGCGTGCTCCATCGTCCACACCCTCCGACTCCTCCGACCTGCTGGCATCTTACCGGCGCCCCGTGAGCCTGATCTCCACTTTGTCCTCCGGGTCTGGATCTTCCAGAGACGACAACCTTGCGCTGCCTTCATCTATCACCAGCTCCTCCTCGGACCCTGACATCAACCTTAACCTGAGCCCCGAGGAGGTCGCTGCAGACCTCCAGGGGTCGAGCCCCCAACCCAACAGGAAGGGGCGGAGCTTCATTCACAACAAAAACAACAACAACAAAGACTGGAAGGCGAGTCGTACCTTGAGCCGCCGGCAGCCGACTTCACCGTTTATCCGCGCCAGCATGGCGCCCAACCCTCAGCTGACCTACCTAGACCGCGTCGTCATGGAGATCATCGAGACAGAGAGGATGTACGTGAGAGATCTGCGCATGATCGTGGAGGTGAGTTACCTAACTGCGTGACCCTATAGGTGTCATGGTAACAGGTGTGGGCTCTACGGGCTCAAATTTTTCACTGATGTGGATGGTTGGTCGTTGTGGTTGCCTAGATAGCCACCCATCCAACCATATCCTTTATTCTCATTGGTAGTTTAACTCAGTACCACCTCCTGAGTTCCTGGAATTCTGTTGCCGAATACCTGGAACATCGATCGCTGCTCGCTAGCGGCGGGTTCAGGACGAGTCAAGTTTGCTTTGATCACGCTCGCTGATGGTTTGATGCTTTATCCTGAAACTAACTCTAAAGTAACTTCAGGCGCTAAGCTTTTCTCTGAAAGTCTAGTCTGTGATCTCATGAAAACACCTGGATGTCCACAGAGGGTGGCGGTGGATGATCCCAGGATCATTTCCATGGTGTAGAACATGAAGTAGAAACACTTCCATCCTTGGCGTCTTATTTTCAAACGATGATCAGCGACCATGGAGCTGGACAGGGTTTGGTTTTTAAGCTGCTGATGCATGAGCTTCTCATCCTTTAGTTTTAATCTAAATTCACCAAGGTAAAACTGTCTGAACTTCAAACATTTCATTTCTATTCTGAAAGCACGCAGGACAAAAATCGACCCATTTTTCTTAGTCTGAACATTTTGGGCTCGTGAAACATACACGTTTCCTGAACGCGTCTCCACGTACAGAGGACAGCTCGCGGTGTCAGTCGTTACCCCGGCCATGACTCAGTGCCAGACTATAATTAACAAGCTAAGACGTTCTGCAGTGATGGGATTAGCTGCTTATGTAACAGGCTCACCGAGCTGCACACACCTGTTTCAGTGTCTGAAGTACGACTCAATCAAACCAGGCTGTTTAAAAAACTTAGTAAAACAAAAAACAAACCAGTGAAGGAGCAACGGATACGACAGAAATACTCTAACAGATATTTATTATGATTTATTTACCAAGGTTTCAGAGAATAACAAAGACCTGTCCTTATAATAAAATAATAACAAGTTTTAGGCTCTAAAAAAGCTCTAAGTGAGATAGAATATGTAATATTAAATCATTAAACACATCACACATACGAGTTTTCTCCATTTTTAAAATATTTAAAAATCAAGTAAACTCTGACACATTAAACATAAACTGATACACAGATTTTAAAGTTCAGTTTATAAAAATAAACATAATTACGTAATCACTTTTATTTAAAACAATAAATGTGTTTATTAGGGGTGCAACGATACACAAAATTCACGGTTCGGTTTGGTTCGGTTCGATACTTTGGTGTCACGGTTCGATATTTTTTCGATACAAAAAATGTTCATGCATTTTTAATTTGTCATTTATTAAAATTATAAATATATATTTTAACTCAAA